TGTATGTAAATAAATATATGTAGTTTTTTATATCATTTTTTTATATTTTATGTGCAAACTTATCTTCATTAAGCATACTTAATGACGAGATTTAGATCGATAACTCCAAAATCAGATGACTATAGGGTACCATATTTTAAGATACCCAACATGTTCAATTCTTTTGAAACACAATACTCTTTTCTTTTATGGAGAATATATAAGAATTCAGGTCAACTAGTTAAACGTATTTCCATATTCCAAGTCAATCCACCACACAAATGACTACATCTCAAGTCCTACATACGCAATCAAAACCCACTTACGAGAGCTTAAGATGTGAAATACAGATTATACATGCAATAACTCATACTAAGTACTCCAAATAAGTTCTAAATAAAGTTAATGAAGACTTTATTCACTATTCATAAACTAAACTAGTACTTGATTACAAAATAACATGTTCATAAAACAATATCAATGGAAGTGCTATGACTTCAAAAATTCTTTATCTTTTTTTATTTTTATTTTTTTGTTTTTATAATATGGATAAAACAAAAAGCACCTAATATACAATGAATGTGAATGCATGCATGAATATATAGACATCATGACCAATACAGATGCACGTGTATAAACACCTAATCAATAAGGCACACAAGTGCTCTTACCATGAAGAGCAACGCGAGCAATATCATAATTGATATCATCACTTTGAACTTGAGTTCACTTTCTTTTACCCAAATCTTAATTCATTCAATCATTTGGTAGACTCCTCAAGTTTGATTACAAAGCTCTCTCTCTTTTTTCTTCCTTAATTCAAGTTTACTCAGTTTCTTAAAGACTGGTCTATTGACCTTGTGTAACTTGAGACTCTCCTCAAATGATTGGTCAAAAGTCTCATGAACATCCATCCCATTCTTAAATCCTTCATTAGAGAGTGATTGACTCATCTGGACAAAATTAGGTCACAAATCACAATTAAACTCTGATATCACTTGTTAGAAATATTTAGACCCCAACGTGAAATTACAACAATCAACAATAAAAAAACAATAAGTCATTGTTTATTGGTTATAGATAATTAATGTTATTAATCCAATTAAACCCTAATTAAACAATCACAAAAATATTCAGATCAAAGCAGTAAAAAGTAAATAACACTAGAAATTGACGACGGAGAAAAACTCCTCGAAGAATTATTCACAAGAATCAAAAACCTCTGGCTAAACTTTGCCAAAAAAATCTACAAGAAAAGTTAAGGGCCTGTTTGAGCCGAATTAAAATCTGATTTTAATCTAAGTCAAAGTCAAACAATTAATATTAACCACATCTTTCATGGATTTCACATCTTTTCAACCACATATTTCAAAAACGTGTATCATAATTCACTAAAAATCTAATTTTAATTCCCACCAAACACCCTCTAACTTACAATTAATCAATACACTACTAAATCACCGAAGAACCTCTTCGATTGTACGATCCGCACTTTCTAACAGCTCTGAGCTACTTTTCCTTAGCTTGGATCACCAAAACTGAACTCATTCCAGAGCGCTGGAACTCCAAGCTCTTTTTCTCCAACATAAGAACTCTGAACGCTAATAAGCGAAGGTAAGGATTTTTGATGTTTGATCTTTAGATCTTGTGCTTTTATCTTTTGATTGAATCAAGAGAATTATGGAATTGTTATTTGATATCTGTAGGATGTTCTTTTGAATATATATAATGGCTCAATCAATGGCATAGAGATAGTTTGGGACGAATTATGGCTTGTGTATATCTAATATGAAGCGGTTGTAGTTGTTTGGGATTGTAAAAAGACTAAAATTCGCAATCTAGAGTTTGGACACGTAACACGGAAGCTCAAGCACTGGGCTAGTGCCTAGCTAATGGCCATGCTCTATTTTGGGCACTCATGAGCCTAAAGGACGGCCATCGAGCTCTTTTAAGCAGCTGTTAGTATTTTCATCATATTTTTCTCTTCCGATATATTATTTAAGCGATTCAAAGTTCGTTGGAAAACTAACTAAAATGGCTACAATTCTTTTAGAACAACACGTTTCAAATTTGAATGCGTTGCAACTTGTGACTGAGAATTTGAAGCATGATTTGTGTAGCACTTTGACACTCCTTTGACTTTAATTGCATCACATTGATCATATGTAATCGTCTTGGATATAATCTTCTTGGATATCTTTGAGCTCTTTGACTTCTTCAAGCAATACAGTACCAATCCATTGACCTTTTGAACAACTTCATTACTTTAATTTTTCTTAAGAAATAGCCAATTACAAATAGAGACCTAACGAAGCCCTTTTTAGAAATGATTTCAACGTTTAATTTCTCATCTGGAGTTGTTTTAGGTGTTAGTAAAATTTTAAAAAAAAATTGATTTTAGAAGAATATGAACCCTTTAACAACAAATTTTGAGAACAATATGAACCCTACATATTAGTTACTCAGCTAATATAATTCTTAATTAAATATAAAATTAAGATTGGCCTTTTCTGTAACAATATATCCAAAAAAGTCTTTAAATACAAGATGATATCTATTTTAAAGAGTTAATGCTTTAAAATAAGCTTCGAGTGACTCTGTATTTTAACTTTTTAAAATAGTGAGTTTGGCTCTACAAATTACTTTATAATGATTGTATTTAACAAGTTACTTATTTTAATACTTTATATCTTATATTTTTCAAATCATATTGAATTGATTGGACATTGATATACAAAAATGTTAAATAACAAAGAGAAATCAATAAATATTTATTGAAAACAAATAAAATGAATAATCAAAATAGGATCATTGCTGAAGTGTCTAAATATTATACTCTCTAAATTCAAAATGTGCTCTATATAGAAGACATTCTTTATAAATAGTCTCTTGAAAATATTATAAACTTATATGACTGACCTATGTTTAATTACGAGCGCGTTTTGCTAAGCTTGCAAAGTTCACTTTTTAAAGTAAATTTAAATTTTGAAAAAACATTTTTCATAAAAGATAAATATAGTTATGTTACCGACTTTGATAGCTAAGTAAAAGTTACTTTTTTAAAAAAAATAAAATAAACTCTTACTTTAAAAAATAGTTAAATTTTGTTTATATACAGAAGTTAGTTAATTTTACTTTTCTTTAAGCTGGTCAAGCCAATGGTCCTGTGAACTTTGTCTGGCAGACAACCTGGAAACAAGGTCTTATGACTGAACCTGCGATGGAACAGCCCACTCTGTAATTTGTACATGTCCTTAGAATTGGTCCCTTCACGTTTCTGAGACACATGTTACGGGACCACGTAAGGTTTCACTAAATCACAAATCACTTGAAAATTGATTTCATTTCGACTTCATCGATATTGTTATTCATAGTGATTGCTTAGACGAGCATTTTACCACTGTAGCTGTCAACGACGCTTTCCTATGGCACCATTAACTGCCAACATAGGTCATCTGCAACTGTCAAGAACCAATAGCGACAGTTACAGCTGCCCACCACCACCACCACCATATTAACTGCTTGTACTGTGTGCTTGTTTGGTTGTGCTTTTAAGTATCAGATTCTATAAAATGTGTAAATAATAAGTGGATAATAAATTATTATTTTGCCAAATAAGTGAATAAAAGTACATTTAATCAACTTAAATTATAATACACAGTGCAAACTCATTACTATCCAACCACCCACTATCCTATACCCTCGGAAATGGGTGGATCCAGGCGTGGTACTGGCACCCTAGAGATCTTTTTTTCTTTTTTTTTTTGGTTAATTAATGGCTTGTTCAGTACAGTTTAAAATTCAATTAAAATTGAAAATATGGTCGTTATTGGGTCCACTCGTCTAATAAAAGTCAACAATAACGGCTAATTTTTCAATTTTAATCTCTACCGAACACGCCCTAAATATTTATTTATATTTTCATTTTTTCCCCGAATGAATTTGGACTTTATTTCTTTTACAATGATTTATATGCTTTTAAAGTTGTTTTCTAACTACTTTTTAAGTTTTAGCCCCGATTTAATGCGGATTAAAATCAGACTTTCAATAAATTTTGATAAAATTAATGAAATATGTGGTTGAAAAGTTGTGAATTCTATGAAATATATGATTAAAATTAATTGTTAATTTTGAATTAGTTTAAATCTAATTTTTAATTTCTATTAAATATAAGCTTAATATTATTTTTTTTATTTATTATTACAAATTGTTTGAAAAAATTATCAATTTCTTTAATCATGTTATTGAAATCTTTAGTTTCGAGCATAAGAAAACGGGAAAAATTTCTGATACTTTCGGAATAATGAAACTCGATATTCCCATAGATAACATTTATAGTCATGTAATGAATTATTTTTATTAATGTTATGTTGCTTGAAAACAAAATTTGTAACTTAATTTTTGATCTCACTATGAAGAATATTCGACTCCGCTACTAACCTCGAAGAAAGTATTTATGAATCCTTACATATAGAATTGCGCAAGTTTTTCTGTAACCACGAAAAATTGGTAACCACTTATCATTTGAATCAACTAATATTTCGTATACATAAACTTGACTATATGAATCATATGAAAAATAAACGTATATGTCACGTCGATAAACTTAAATGTCCACAAAAGAAATGTGGCTCATTTGGTGCTATGTGTCAATGTCTTTGCATGTGGTGCACTTGACGAGTACCAAGTTGGCCAAGTCCACTACCTTGGAAGTTATCTTTATGCCTCAAGGCAACTCCTTAGGAAATGCTTGCTCTCAATTAGCAACTCACAACTCAATGTGAAATTAAATCACGAGCATCTAACTCGTACAAAAAATTCCACGACCCAATTCGACTCATCATCTACGGTTTCTTACAGGTTAAACTGCATTTTCTACTACGTAAAAAATAAAAATCTCAAGTATGTAAAAGCCTACAGTATATTTATAGAAAAACATAATGGTTCTCAAAGCCAAAGAGAAACCAGTACTACCTCTTCAATGATATAGAACAATTCTGAGATGATGCTTGAGCTTTAAGCTAGAAAACTAATGCTCGTGCCTTTAATATTCCAGGAAGGGGAGACGAAGTTGGAGGCATACCCGATATGCTTGACCTTGATGGATGAGGTACTTGAGGTTGGTATGGATTGGCCATGCTTGAGCTTTCACCTCCATTTGTAGAGATATGAGCTGTGCTGTCACCTCTTTGTTTTTCACAAAATTTCATAGCCTTGAGAACGTAATTGTCATCGTGTATCTCAAAAGGGGTGCTGTAATTATACGAACAAATAAATCAGTTATGCAGAAGGTGGAATATATAATAAAAATCATGTCAAGGATATTGAGTCTATTGCAATAAAATAGCATAATCCTGATAAGGGCATAAACTCCATAAAAATCAGTTACTTGCATGATAATGAAATATTAATAGAAATCGCAATTTCAACAGCCAAATGCAACTTGTTTAACGATTACAGAGGCAAGCAAGATCTTTTAAATCACAAAATTATTACGAGAAAAATCATCAAAAATTTCAACAAAATAAACAATTTTTTGTTTTCCTTTGCATACCACAGCGACTTAGGTTGAATTTCCTCGTAGCAACTCGAGTCTATCCTAAGTCGATGACACCATGAAAATATCCAGGGATTATGCTGAGATTATACATCTCCAGGAACTTTCAAAAAATGATTGAAATAAAAGCATTATGACATGCTGGGATTTCATATATCCTTGAACTTCCGACACCCATAAATAATTGTAGGAACTCATCGCAACAGCATTGTCAATCACAATCTAGTATTAAGGTCATGAGAAAAGCCCAAGTAGCTACCCATCATTTCACTTAAATAGACTGAATCTGATAATCATTATGGACACCAGAAAATTATTTTTGCATGAATGTCAAGACAATTCTTCCCATCTTCTTCTTCTTCTATAGTCAGAAGCAAAAAGGAGAACAGAAAAGGAAAAAATGCAGCACTGTGATGATGAGCATTGCTTTTTGGAAGATGGACACAATAAAAATTAAAGATGAGATATTATCGATCAACTTCACCTGCACCAATATAAAAGGTAAGGCCACACCACCGGTAGGAGCATTTCCTGAGCCATATAGTAGCTCATTGCGTTGTATGAGATTTTGAAGCCAACCAAAGTGCAAAATGTAAAATTCGTTAGACATGCCAACAACAATTTACATATCTTCAGATTCAAACAGACAGGTATTATATATGTTCTTACTTGTACCTTAAGCTCTTCCAAATAAACTGATTTCTTTTCAATCCGATTTCCAAGTCCAAGACATTCGGTCTGCAATAACAAGCATATACATAAGCTATATTTGCTGAGATGTTCTTTCCTGTGACATAAATATATAGGAAAAGTAAACGAAATTTGAGCTCTTCAATGTCATTCAAGCTACTGCAAGGTAGTCCCTTCCACTGTATATCCTTTTTATCTTTGGAGATTATATCCATCACCATTATTACGTTTAGAGCACCATACACCCTTCGCCTAATTTTTTTCTCATCGTATTGTTGCTGCCACATGTACAGATGACAAATCGAAAGCCTAAAACTTTGACTTTTTAATTACCACAAGCACAGGAGGAGAAAATTATAAACTCAACAAACCTGGTCTGAAGATCCAACACCATTGTTAGGATCTGCAAATTCAGCAACAAGTTCATCTTCAACCTCATCAGACTCTAATTTCGTCAAATTTAGATATCACGCGATAACGAGCAGTTCAACAAATTAACATTTATGGGAAAATATTAAGGTCATTCCACAGGACCCAAGTTTTCTCTCCTCAATCAAGCTATTAAGCTACACAATATAAACTTATGGATGCATAGAACAGTACTATCATTTGACACGAGAGGAGAATTCCCATACACCAATATAATTTCTAAATCACCAATAAAATAACTCCCCTGTTCCATGGCAGTTGATGTGAATTCTCATCAAAAGAAACCAAGTTGCACATTCTACAGTATGAAGCAATGTCTTCCATTAGAAGAAACATGACAGTAGAAGAGACCAAGTTGCACATTTTGATCAATGACCTCAACTCTTTTAATCAAAAACCATCCCACGCTGTCTCTTTCAATGAAACATCACAACCATTTAGCATCAATAGAAAATGATTACTGGGTTTATAAACCAATAATGGGATAAAACGAGCAAAAGAAGAATCAAATAATAGGAAATACACGAGCACTACCATATTGCAGAAAAGCAGAAAGAATAATTTCAAAGAAATACTTTTGGTGAGTCATCTGACCTCATTGTAGGTAGTTCTTCCATTGTTTTCCACTTTCTCGCAAACTATCAGTAAAAGAGTAGGAGAGGTTAATTATATGCAACTCATAATAAAAGTGTATTCAAGTAACATAATTAATTATGCTGGCTTTTCCAAAGGCCATCCAAAATGCAGTAACACCCTCCTCAGTTTTCAGGAAGTTCATGTAACCCTTCCCCAGAGCTCAAGAAATACCAGTTTGAAACCATGAAGTGGTGATGACTTTGTGCAGGATTCCTACAACTCACATATATAACCACAACCGAAAACATTTATCTGTCGAATTCCATGCTAAATGGACCCTTCAATTTAGGCCAATGTGTCTCGTCAGATCCAAAGTTCGCCTGGATTTGCTAATCCCCCTTGATTTCCAATCTAGTTCTTGACAACTAGATCATTAATGATTAGTATTTTAGATCTTTAATTTCAGCCAACCAGTGACTCGCAGATATGAAATTGTAATTACCGTCTGATTTGTTTCAGCTTACCTTCTTAATGGCTATTATTCTTTATTATTATGAATCTCCAAACCATCCTCATAATACTTCCACTTCACCATAAATATAGGACAGATGAGAAATAAAATTCCTTTCATGCTAACGAAGCCCTCTACCACTCTTATCCCCTCCAGCTGCACGTCGACCTCTTTTCTTCTTCATGTTGCTGATTAGAAACCGATAATCAGTCACAGTTGGCAGGAAAAGAAAAGAAAAGGCGAAATGTTATGAATATTACAAGACAACACAACCATGTGAGAGTCATACATGCTTGCTACAATAGCATCATCCTTTTAATGCACCATTCAACATGGCAAAACACGTCCTATATACTCCCAATTTCAACGTTTCCACATGAATAACGAAAGTCCTACTTAACCCCGTTCTAAGATTGCCACAATTCACCATTTACACATTATAGTTAGAATTTATAAATTATTATCCTTGACGCTAACTTACGTTATCTCTGAAACAGATTTCTCGATTGAACAAAGTATCAGTGTCTTATACTATAAAGGATCACTACATGAATCTATCAAAGTTTTGGCTGAATGGTTTTCCCGTTTGAGGGTTCTTCCATTAAATAGAAATTGTGTACATCCTAAATATGGTAATGAGAATAATTACAATAATTTACAATCAATAATATATGTATTTATAGTAAATGCAATCTTCGTATGCAATCTCCGTAATCTTTATTCTTCAATCTTGTTGACATCCCCCCTCAAATTAATGTTGGGCGAATCAAGAAGCATCAATTTGCCAACAAGAAATTGATGACGTTGTGGCGTCATTGCCTTAGTAAACACGTCAGCGATCTGAACATCGGTGGTGATGTGTGGAAGGAAAATAATGTGACCATCATTAGCCTCACGGATGGAGTGACAATCTACTTCAATGTGTTTAGTGCGCTCATGAAACACGGGATTAACAGCAGTTTGAATAGCACTTGTATTATCAGCATATAGTGGAGTAGGCCTAATCTGAGGACAACCACAACTCCTCCAAATACTTGTGCTGATGTAGATCAGTTCCAGCCGGACTTGAAAGCACCTCAAGACCTAAGAAATATTGTCAAATCCTTCATATGAAAAGAATCCCTCAATCAAGTTTGAAGTTGAGAGATCAAACCAGAATCAGTACCAGTAATAACAATATCATCGACGTAGACCAAAAGAAGCACAGTACCCGCTTTGGTGGCAGAGATGAGGAGAGATGAATCATATTTACTCTGAGTTAACGAGTATACCAAGAGAGTAGAACGAAACTTATCAAACCAAGCACGAGGAGTCTACTTCAACCCATAAAGCGAACGCTTAAGCTTACACACATCGGAAGATGGCAACGAAAAGAGACCCACAGGAGGTGTCATATAAATATCTTCCTTAAGGTCACCATGTAAGAAAGCATTCTTGACATCCATCTGTTGCAAAGGCCAACCCTTGGAATTAGCGATAGCCACAATAGTGCGAACAGTCGTCATTTTGGAAACAGGGGCAAATGTCTCTTCGTAATCCACCCCATATTCTTGACGATTTTCAAGAGCCACCAACTGAGCTTTATATCGTTCTAGCGTTCCATCATATCGAAGCTTAACAGAATAGACCCATTTGCACCCAATAGGTCGGATACAGGAGAATAAGAAACAATATCCCATGTGTGATTTTCCAAAAGAGCTTGAAGTTCCTCTTGCATGGCTCTTTCCCAACAAGGTTGAGTAACAACTTGAGAATAAGAAGTAGGAACTGTGAACTGAGATAAAGTTGCAGAAAAGCCATACCGGTCAGGAAGATGAGTAGCGCGAGTGGAACGCCGGAGATGAGCAGAATCGGGGATGGAATCGGGATCGGGAACTAAAAGGGGTTGTCGGTCTGGGGGCCATCGTCTCTGATATACCACACCCTGTTTAAAACTCTCCACAGAACCAGAGTTAGTCGCAAAGCTAATAAGCGGAATCGAATCATGAGATGAAACAACATGTTGGAAGAAGTACTGATTCTAAAAAAAAACAACATTGTGAGAAATACGAAAACGATTAGCAACACCATCATAGCAAATGAAACATTTCTGAGCAATGCTATAACCCAAGAAAGCACAATGAGCGGATTGAGCACCAAGCTTATGATGTTCATGAGGTGGTAAATGTACAAAGCAGACACAACCAAAAGAATGTAACATATCATAGCCAGGATGTGTACCGTACATGTGAAAGTAAGGGGAGTCAAAATTCAAATGCTGAGCAGGAAGTCGATTAATCAGATATACGACAGTGGAAGGAGCTTCGACCCAAAAGCTGGGTGGAATCGAAGATTCCAAGAGCAAAACTATGACAACATCCAATAGGTGACTATTCGTTCGTTCTGCCATTCCATTTTGTTGAAAGGTATATGGATAAGAGCGTTGAGAGAGAATACCCTTTTGTTATAAGAAGGATTGACACTGATGAGACATATATTCGCCACCGTTGTCAGATCTCAATATTTGAATACTGGAGGACAATTGTGTTTCAACATAAGCCACAAAAGTTTGAAGAATGGAACCAATCACTTTTAGACCGGAGAAAATATATCTATGTGTAACAACTGAAATTATCAATAAATGTCACTAAATACTTATAATGAGCATGTGATGCCACAGATGCCACTCCCCAAACATCACTATGAATAATCTCAAAGCATTTATGAGCACGACTGCCATGAGATGAAAATGGAAGTCTTACTTTTACCAAGTTTACAAGCATTACAATTGAAAGACAAATCTGAAAATTGAAACCGTTCTTTATTACCCAAAAAACCACACTTTAACAAATGAGATAAAATTAAAGTATTGGGATGACCCAATCGTTTATGCCAAACTTCATGTTTAAATCTATCACTAAGACAAGCCAAAGACAGAGATAGAGGAATAGTAAAGTACGGTAGAAACAATCTCCTGACATTAGGCCCCTTCACGATCACCTTCCCCAATCCCCAATCTTGCACAAGGCAACCAGCACGAGAGAAACACACATCACAGTTATTATCAACTAATTGACCAACCGAAATCAAGTTTGTAGATAAGCCCGAAGAGATAAAAATATTATCAAAAGAAGACTCAATATCACCAACAGCAATAATAGGAAGAGTACTGCCATTAACAATCTGAATGTGTTGTGTACCAGTGTATCGTCAAATGTTATGTAATGAATCAGAACTACCTGCCATATGATTTGATGCCCCTGAATCAATAAACCAAGGAGAAGAAACAATCATCTGCTGGACTATTTCTGGAGTAAGATCAGGTTGACTAGTGTTAGCTTGATAGAGTGCCAGATTAGGACCTTGTGCAACTGCTTGAAATGCTTGAGTTCGTCGGTGTGGAGGTCTTGTGGGATAGTCTTTGATGAGATGCCCAAATTGTTTACAGTAATTGCAGACTTTCTGAGGACACTTACGAGCAATATGTCTGTATCCTTTGCAGTTAAAACACTGTAGTTTATCCCTGCCCCATCCTTGGGCAGCATATGCAACGGTGGCCACAATAGACGAGGAAAATCAGCTCCAATAGTAGTTTGGGTTGCCAGTCATTGTTCCTCACGCAAAAGTTCACCCAGACACACATCCAAAGAGGGAATCGGGTCGTTGGGGTGACGACTGCAATGATTGAAAGGTTAGGAAAAAATATGCCACTGTTTGAAAGGTTTGAGACCTTAGCTGCAATTATCCCTATTTAATATATTATAGATTTTGGCTTGAAAACAAGAGTTTAATGTTGACTCTATTTATATTGGGGGAGGGGGGTGTAATGGTTGGGAGAACGTTAAAATTGTCTTGTTATAAGGAAAATTTCAGCTTCGCTCTATAACATTTACAAAAAGTGTAAATAGGTCATGAACCTTCAAATCTTGGCATCACTAGCCCTGATGAATATGCAGACCTAGTCCTTTCGCACAATAAATGTCTAATATTCCATTAATGAAGCACGTGCACTTGTTTAAGGATGGCAAAAAAAAATCTTTAAACTCGATATATGTGGGTCCCTTCCCAAACAAGATGGGAATTCCCGCATAATCAGGTACTTGGGGCGAGGACAAGGACGAGGTGACCTACGTTGTCCTAGGACAGGGTGAGAATGGAGAATATGGTCCTCACCCCACGACCTGTCC